AGGCAAGATTATCTAGTGGTGAGAAGACTTATATGGAGAGGTTAAAAGAGAAAGAAAAAGGCCATGTTAATGTTGAGGAAAATGAAGATGACGAGGACAGTGAATCATCTGAAGACTCATTAAATGGTATACACTTTGAAGATAGTGAAGACAAGAGGATGCACGATTTTGATGAAGACATGGGTGAAGATGATGGTACAGGTGGAGTGGGTAATGGTGATGGTACAGGTCAAATGGATAATGGTCAAGGGATACCTAAAGAGTTTACTACATCTGAGATGTAAAGGGAACATTAATTGAGGATGATTACATCACAGATGAACTTGATAGTGGAGCAGATGATGATAGTGATAATGGTAGGCCTGTAGTGATAAAGTTTAATGAACATGAAATCCTTAGAAAAGAATTTAAATTCAAGGTGGGAATAAAATTTTCTTCTCTGAAGCAATTTAAAAAGGTTGTACTGGAACACAAAGTGTTGAATGGTAGGGAGGTCAGGTTTGCCAAAAATGATGGGATAAGGTGTAGGGTTGTTTGTAAGGACAAACAACAATGTGATTACACGGTTTTATGCAATAGGATTTTGAGAACTACATCATTTAGGATCAAAATTCTATTTTAGAAGCACAAATGTGGAAGAAAGTTCTTCAACAAGAATGTTAATGCTGATTGGGTATCTAGAGTGATTGTTCACAAGTTAAAGAACAATTCAGGTATGAAATTGAATAAAGTTGTAGCAGGTGTAAGATTGAGGTTTGCTACAAAAATTACTGAATGTAGGGCTTTTAAAGCAAAGCAATTAGCTAGAAAGGTTGTTGAAGGGGACTCAGCCAAGCAATACAGCATGATATGGTCATATGGAGCTGAATTGAGGAGGGCATCCAAAGGAAACACATTTAAGTTGAACATTTCTGGTTTGCCACCTAGGTTTGAAAGGTGCTACATGTGCTTTGATGGTACAAAGAAAGCATTGAAGGTTGGATGTAGACTATTCATAGGGTTAGATGGATGTCACCTAAAAAATAAATATGGTGGAATCTTGTTGATAGCTGTTAGTAGAGATGTCAATGACCAGTATCTTCCACTTGCCTTTGGGGTTGTGGAGAATGAAACTAGGGACTCTTGGAGTTGGTTTGTTAAGTTAATTCTGGAAGACATTGGTTCTGATAATAGGTGGTGCTTCATGTCTGATCAGCAAAAGGTATGATTAATGTTACTTATTTATTTAATGTTTAATGTTACGTATTGATATGGTGGTCATGTATATGCAGGGACTGGTGAATGTATTAGAGAAAGAATATCTTGAGTTTGAACATAGGTTTTGCTTAAGGCATTTATATGCTAACTTCAAGAAGTTTGGTGGTGGAACAATATATAAAGATCTCATAATGGTTGCAGCAAAGGTAACCTATTTTGAAGCTCACGAGGATAAGATGAATCAAATTAAGGAGGTAAGTCCATATGCTTTTGAATGGATAAATGTTATTCCCGAGAATAAATGGTGTAAACATATTTTTTTCCTTGTACTCTAAGTGTGATGTTCTTATGAACAACCTAAGTGAATCACTCAATGCTGCTATTTTGATGCAAAGGGATAAATATATAATTATCATTAAGTATGTACACAAATGTTACCATAGGTCTACTTATGTCTCATGTTACAATGAAGTTATCAGTCTCATTAATGACCAAAACTAATGGCCAAGGACTGCTGACCCTGAAATCTCACCACCAAGTTACAAGAGAGGTTCTGGTAGACCAAAGAAACTCAGAAGAAGAGATCCAGATGAGGCAAGTCAGACAAGGTGGCAAAGGACAAACACAATTCATAGGTGCAAGACTTGCTTAGAATATGGACACAATACAAGGACATATAAGAAAAACAAACGATTGGCAGTTGTTGAAGGTGAACTGCCAAGAGATGTTGCACCCACCCAAGGAAGCCAAACACAAAATGTGGCTACTGTAGGATCCAAAAAAAGGGTTAGTAACTCAAACTGAACAAAAAATTTACATTAGAAATTCATATATAATTTTCAATATCTTGTTACAATTATGTTGGATGCAGGGTGGGCCAAAAGGTACAACCAAAACCAAAAAAGGAGGCACGTCTAGGAAATCAAACACAGAAAATGGGCGTCATACTATTGCAGGAAATGAGAGTCATAAGGTATCAAAACCTGCTAAATCTGCTGCTAATCCAACTATGAGTGACCCTGTAAGTTTGTAACTTGTTCTGATAGACTTATTTGACATGTTTTGTTTTTTTACCTTGATAACACTATGTTTTCATAACAGGTGAAAATCATGATATCACCAAGGAAAAAGTCAAAGATTATTGCATCTACAATTAGAAAGAGTGACAGACTTAGGACTTTGATGATAAAGAATATAAAGGGACCTGGAAGGGATCCAAATGATCCATTTGTAATACTTGAAGAAGAATCAACTATTGATAGTTCTAGGGGAAAGGGAAAGAAGAATCAACGTATGTCTTATGAAACAAATGAATGTTGTATTATGAACCAATTATAATATTATACACTTTGTAATGTGTTTTTGTTATGCACTTTGTTATGTGTTTTGTAATGTGTTTTGTTATGCAATTTGTAATGTGAATTGTTATGCACTTTGTAATGTGCTTTGTTATGCACTTTGAACCTTTAATGTATTTTGTACTCATGTCTCAGTATGTGATTAGTTATACATTTAACAGTCAAATTACAAGCTTTTTATATCAATATTATAAATTATGTCAACTTAATCATAATAAACAATATTGATAACAATTCAGCACCTACAATTGATAATAAAATAAATATTGAAGTAATACCTACAATTTAGAAGTAGTGTCCAAAAGTTGATATGTGATCATTTGGATCACTAGCCACGTCAAAATCATTGTATGCTCTTAGAGAAATTTTATGAGTTGAGGTAGAAGGACATAAGAGTAAGACATGAGAGAAAATTTCACTACGGTAACTTAATATGCTTTATTCACACTAAAAGTTATGCTTGGCCTGGTCAATGCAACATATTGAAGTGCATCAGCTATCAATCTATACAATTGAGGATCAAAGAAAACCTTTGAGTCGTGTTTGCTGAGCATGCAAGTAATCAACTTAGGTGCAAGAACTCCATTGACATCACTCATTGTTGCTCTAGCAAGAAAGTCTTTGATATACTTAGATTGATTGAGCAATATTGAGCCATTAGTCTGTGATTTTACCTCTATTCTCAAAAAGTATTCAGGTTTGCCAAATTTCTTTAAATAAAAAGGGTCATACAATTTGTTGATGAGTCTGTGAACTAAAGTATAAAAAGAGTCAGTTATGAGTATGTCATCCACATACACTAAGACATATAAGAACACAATTTGTTGAGAATACACAAATAGTGAATGATCATATTTTGAGTGAGAGAACTTAGATTCAACTTTTCATACATTGCCTTTAGGGCTTGCTTAACCTCATAGAAAGAGTTTTTCATTTTCGAATTCAATTCGAAAAGTGTGACTCGAGTCTTATATTGGCTTGACTCGAATCAAACAAGAAAATTTTGTATTTTCTCATCTTACTTAAATCATTCTCTCAATTAATTTAAATCGTCATTTTTGCATTTAACTCGAATAAAAGTGTTATTTATTTATTTATTTTGTGTCTTATCTCTAACACATATAAAAACCAATTTATTTCTTACTCTAAAAAATATAACCTTCATAATCTTTGAAAAACCTTGAGATTTTTGTCAATCACACAAATTTTTTATCTCAAATTAATCGCGAAGAAAAACTTTTTCCAGTGTTAATTTCTTGAGTTTGAACAAGTATAATGTGCGTTTTCTAAAAAATTTCATCTTTAACCTCTCACCAAAACATCGTTGTAGCTGTGATGTACTTCATTGGGTGTTATAATGTTCTTTTGAAGACTTTTATTTTCAAATTGAAGAATCATATTCTATTTGTGATTTCTAGAGATTGACATCCAGTAAAGAAAAAGGTCTTGGAGTTTTAAACTCCTTCAACAAGTTTAAAGACTCGGACAAAGAAATTTTGATAAGGTCAAGTGAAGATCAGGCGAAATCTTAAAGTGCTTTGATTCTGAAAAAGTGATTTGATTCAAGAATGAAGATCTTGAAGAATTTGCAGCCTATTAAACAATGTACAATAGAAAGAGAATCAAAATTCAAATTGGTATAGAATTTTTATGTTTTTAAGTTTGTATAGAATTTTTATGTTTTTAAATTTTATTTGTTTTGTTACTATAACGATTTAATGTTTAAGCTTTATGTTTGTGTTAGATTTAACCGCTAAACATTTATTTCTTGTAATTATTCTAAAAATAATTCATATTCAACAATGTTTCCTTCGGTTTCCTTAAAGTTTGTAGCATCGGTCAAATAAAGCAACTCCATATGTTGGTAGCTTCAAAGCGATATGTTTTCATGATATGAATGAAGTCATACAATACAAAAACTTTAAAGTTGATTAACTGAAATATTCAAATATATAGCAAAATGAGTTAACTTTTCACATATTTTGATATACTTGAATGAAAATAGAAAATTGTTGGAAAACAATATGACACCAGTTTAGAATTTCATCAAGACCAAGAAGACAAATAATCATAACAAGTAAACTCAATCAATTTTGCTACAGCAATTAAAGATATTATATTTCCATTCGGTGAATATAACTCGCAGGTTGAGCAGTAGCCAAATTTACATTGGAAAGAACGTTTAAAGTGTGATGGTTTAGATCTGGATGTGCTTAAAAACATGCAAAGGATGACAGTACATAAACCACCTTTACAATTATAGAATTTTTTTTTGAAGCAATTAGGTTTAAAGCAATTTAGACAAACGCATTAAAGGTACTCCAAAGGAAATTCAAAACAAGTATTGCGTTACATAAATCCAAAATAATCCAAAATCTCTAGGGAAAGGGACTCGAAACATAAAATCTGTCAAAAAGAAACACAACAAAGATGTAATCACGACATCTATTGCTTAAGTTCGGTCTTCTTTTTCTGCCATAGGCGGTCAATTCCGCTGTCAGCATCACCCTGAAATTAAAAGACATTACTAAAACATCAAAGCATGTTAAGGCCAAAGAGAAATCACAATACATACAATGATTGTACAGAAAGGATGTAAAGACTAGCCAGAGCAGAAACCAAAGGACACTTATTTCATTATATTTCCGAGGAAACAACACTGCTTTAGTTTGAAAAAGTTTCAGTAGATAGTGTTATCTACCACCAAGTTTAGTGATAAAAGAATCAGAATACATAAGAAAATGATTATACATACAGTTTGTAAAGATTATGCCAGAGTAGAAACGAACACTGCTATGATTTGACAAATTTTTGGTAGATAGTGTTATCTAACACCAAGTTCATTGGTAAATACTCAGAATTCCTATAAAACTCGTGCCATTTTCCTAGTCATTCCATTCTATATTTCAGCCGACACAATTTGCAATATTGATAAAGAAACCAAACTCATAATTTGATGATTTCAGCAAGGAAACAATTACTGTATATCTATAAATATCAACAGAAATTTAAACACTTGTTGAGTTAAAAAAAAAAAATACACAGAAAACTAACAATTAAATCTACATAGAAAAACCCTAGTTAATTATCTCTAATAAATAAAGAAAAGTAAAAAATCAAAAAGAAAGGAGAAAATTTATACCTGAGCGCGAGTGAAGCCACATAGAGCGAAAGTGGAGAAGTGACCATTGTAGACACCACTCTCATCTAAATGACCTACGTTAATCTGAACGGAAGCATGATCCTTAGCAGTAATCAATCTGTTTGTAGCAGAACTGCAACAAATCCACAAAAACAGTTCAAAAATCCATAGCCGTAAGAACAAAACCCTAAATTTACAAAACCAAATTAGAGATTATCAAAAAGTGTATACCACTTCCTAGGAATGTAGAGCTCGGTGATTTGTCCTTCATCGTTCTGCATCTTGAGTTTTGTTGTGAAATCGCTTGAAACTGATATCGGTTGCGAAGAAGATGAAACGAACCAAGGATTGAAGACGGAGGCACTGATAGAAAGAACGTGAATGTTTTAATGGGCCGGGCCGGGTTTTCAATATGGCCCAATTTGTTTCACAATATGGGCTACCAAAAATTGGTTATTGAAGAGAATATCTCTTACTTACTGCACCATCAGTTTTTATGTTTTCAAATGTGTAATGTGATTTATTTCAGAAGTGTAATTTATAATATTATATGAAATTTTAAATTTTAAATTAATATAATATTATTGAGATTTATAATATTATATATTTAACATATGAATGTATGACTTTAAATGTTTATTTCATTTAGATAATATTACATATTATAATTATTTGATGGTATTAGTTTTCATAAAATCATATAGCTTAATTGATAAAGAATTTGGTCCTATGCATGCACCCCATGTCCATGAGTTTTTGTTTTGTATGTTAATTGATTAAAATAAGTATTCAACAGAGAAAATTATTCAAGATTTTGATGGCCTCACAGTAAAGTGATATAATATGTCATTGGTTTGAATCAATAGGGCTTTATTTTAATTTTTTGCTATTTTAAAGTTTAAATAGTTTATACAAAATCAAAATGAAAAAAAAAAGTCAATGTGATCATCCAAGTCATTTAAATAAAAATTTTAAAAAATTAACATGGCAGTGTTACGACATTTTTTCATTAAAAAAACACGTATGAACTATGAGAATTATTTTATTAATTTAGAGGAGTTTTTGACATCCAAAAACTATTTTGTGATAGTTTTAAAAAAAAATTGTCGGTTTATATGATTTTCATAATTTATTTGTAAAAATTATGAGGGACCGTTTGTATTTTAATGAATAAATTAAAGAGGTTGTTTTGTGGAGGCTCTAACTCCCATAAAAATAATAAAAATATAAACATGAAAAATCATAATTATCAAACTTTTATTATATATTTTTTCAAATGACAAATAAAAATATTAATAATAAAATAAGTGATAAAGATCAATTATCGAATTTTCTTACACAAATACTTTATAACTTTTGACAAAACTAACCAACCACACTAAAACAATAAGGACATAAATTGTCCAACTTTTTATTCGACATCTATTTAATTAGTCTATTAGAAATATCATGTGTAGCAAAGAAACCTCTAAGTACACACTCCAATTTATCAATATATTACTTCATCAAAATTCACCAACAAATCAAGAGTATTTATTTGAAAGAAAAAAAACATACAATTCCATACCAACCAAGCATAGTTCTCAATAGTGTACTAGAACAGCGCAATCCTAGGATTCCCTCCCGACGAGACAATCTTTTATTATGGAAGAGCAACGCGCATATCAGTTTAAGATTGTGATCGCAATTTAAAGGATATTGGATCAGGGGAGCGAAGCGTTTTCCAGGCCAAAGCAGGGTTTTAACCAGATTTTTATTTTTGGGTACAAAAATATATTTTTGCTCTTAAAAATTTAAACTTGAAATGTCTATTTCAGATTTCACACTTTCTCAACCAAATCCTTCGCGTTTCTCTATTCGTTGTTTCTCTCTGCATTTCGCCTTTCTTTTATTTGCGCTAAACCAAATTGTATCTTCTTCTACTTCAACTGCTTCTCTACTTCGCTGCCTTAGTTTAGTTCTCTTTATTCTTCATATTTTTTAATTCTCTATTTTGTTTTTCCTGTTTTAAACTCTTCTTATTCTTCTCTATTATTTTATTCTTACTTGTTCTGAACAGGGAAAAAGCTCACAAGTGTCAAATCTATGCAGATAAAATTCACGTGCCTCCGACTCTTCTCAACGTTCTTTCTTCTCCGTAGTCTTTCTTTATGTGGGACATTGATATGATCGATATGATTAAACCTAAGGCCTCGAATGGATATCGTTTCATCCTGGTGGCTATTGACTATTTCACCAAGTGGGTTGAAGCAACTTTATGCGCGAATGTGACTCGCCAAAGTGGTGGTCAAGTTTATCAAGAACTAGCTCATCTTCCAGTATGGTGTGCCAAGTAAGATTGTCACTAAAAATGGGTCGAATTTGAACAATAAAATGATGAAAGAACTCTGCGATGATTTCAAGATAGAACATCACAACTCCTCTCCCTACAGACTAAAGATGAATGGTGTTGTCTAGGGGTGAGAATAGGTCAGGCGAACTAACAGGGGCCTACGACCTAGCCTACAGTGGCCAAGGCCAGGCTTTTTTTAAGTTGAAAAGGGCTAGGCCTTTTTATAAGCCTATTTAGTTAAATAGGCTAGGCCACAGGCTATAAAAAAGTCTTTCAAGCCTATCAGGCCGACCTATTTTAATAAATATGAATAAATTTATTATTTTTATATTGTATTTTGTATTTTATATTAAAATACAAAAGTAAAGTTTAGTTATCTTGAAGAATTTATGAAAATAAGTTGAAAAAACCTTATGAATAATATCATAAGTTATTTTCATAAGTTCTCTCAAACAAATATACTCACTAAACTTATGCTACTATATAAGCTCAAATAAGTCAATGTAAACAAGCATTTGGTCTCATTGTACTTTTGATTTCTAGTATATTTAAACACTAATTGAATTTCTTATTTACATATGTTCAAATGATACATGCTTCTTAAGCAGACTAAAAGGCTAATAAGGCCTTCGAAAAGGCCAGGCTCAGGCCGAAAATAAGCCTATGATAGGTCACATGCTAGACTTAGGTTTTGAATTTTTTGGTAGGCCAGACTCAGGCTTGGCAAATCCTAATTCGGACCAGCCTATTCCCACCCCTAGTGTTGTCGAGGCTGCTAATAAAAACATCAAGAAAATTATTAAGAAGATGGTTGTAACCTACAAGGATTGTCATGAGATACTACCATTTGCTCTGCATGGCTATCGCACATTCGTCTGCACTTCAACATTGGAAACTCCACTTTCTATGGTATATGGGATGGAAGTAGTACTCCCCACAGAGGTTGAGATCCTATCAATGAGAGTTCTTATGGAAATTGAGTTATTTGAGGTAGAATGGTGTCAAAGTATATATGACCAGTTGAATTTAGTCAAAGAGAAAAGGATGACGACCTTGTGTCATGGCCAGTTATTTCAAAGGAGAATGAAGTAGGCGTTCGATAAGAAGGTTCGACCTTGTGAATTCAGAGAAGGCGACCTTGTACTTAAGAGGATCTTGTCTTTTCAACCTAATTCTAGGGGCAAGTGGGCTCCTAATTTTGAAGGCTCATATGTGGTTAAAACAACCTTCTCTAGCGGTGCAATGACTCTTATGACTATGGATGGTGAGGAGCTCCCGTATCCTGTGAATGCTGATGCGGTCAAGAAATACTTTGTCTAAAGAAAATAAAAGAACATTTCGCTAAGTTGATAACCCGAAAGGGCGACTTAGGAAAAAATGAGCGTCTCAGTAGACTGAAAACCCGGAAGGGCATTTCAGGTAAAAACTAGAGACATAAACAAAAAAATAATTCATCCCGGTAGGATGAAAACCCGAAAGGGAAACCTAGAAAAAAGTTAGTGATCTTTATGAAAAGTAACTACATCAGGCCAGACTTGATCTTCTTGAAGCACTTACAAATGTTCTTCATCAAATCATCCGTAACAAAGCTTGAACACAGTTGGAATTCAAAGTTGATAAGGATAATATGATTGTGTATTTCAATGTAACCTTTCTCATATAATTACCATTTTCCAACTTTGTAATGATCCATGGAGTTACGCCATTTTTGAACTACCATTCTATTAATAAAATTTGAGCCTTTGTCCATTTGTTTGCAACTCTTATCTTATTTCAGCTTTGCAAAATTTCTTTTATTTTTGATGATAATTTTGAAGCAAAATGTTAATAAAATGTGTTTTAAATATATAGCAACAAAAATATTTTCCTATGATTCTTAAATATAAAATGGAATGTCAATCGTTACCCCTAAACAAGGTTAGATTTCGAAACGCAAAATTGAGAAAGCATATTACTTTTGATGATTTTCGGAGGGCGGTTATTTCCCCAATAGATCTTTCAGGAATATTGTTATCTTTCTTATTTGAATTATTGATGTTTGAGGAGTGAAATTTGGGTTTCTTCCCCAAGAAATATCTTTTTCTCCTAGAGGTATTGACCTCTTAGCAAAGCTTTACTCCCTCGGTGGCCCTATTTTATTCCCAAGAGATGTTGAAATTCCTCGAGTACCTGATCCTACTGTGATTTGCCATCTCCAATTCATCTATTTTGTCTATTATGTCTATTTGATCTGCATACGCATGACATTCATTCATCATTCGTGTGCATTTGCATTTCTAGGTGTTCTTAATTCCATTTACTTTGGTTGCGTTTATCCCAAGTAGTGTACTTATCTTCCCCAATGATGTCTTTAATACCTCTAATAGAGTGTCAGCTATAGGAAGAAAGGTGTATATTCCTTTTGATTCCCCACTGAGTGTATTCCTCGTGGAAAGGTTTAGCTTTAGTTTTCTCGTCTATCTCTGGATAAGATAAATCCCCAGTTGAGTTTATTCCTCATTGGGAAGAGTCTTCTTTGACTGTCTCTCTCCAGCTTATTCCTGGATTGAACCTTGTCTCTGACAAATATGTTTGTTTGGATCTCTAGGTAGCAAACCCTATATTGAGAGTGCATTTATTTTGCATATATGAAGACTTTATCTCCTCACCAGGAGTATGTTACCATTTTCTCCCATCAAATGGCATCTCTTCAGAAAAATCTTGTCATAGGAGAACCTTACAGATAATATTCTCCTTATTTGAGAAATTTATTTTGCGAGATTGCTGACCCGCATTTCTTTCAAAGATTCCCATTGAAGTTATTGATTTTCAGCAAGTGGTTTATTACCCTTTTCAAGTTGAAGACTCGATTAAAGAAGAAACTAAGACTCGTTCGTCGTAGGGAGGTTTATTACCCTTTTCAAGTAGAAGACTTGATTAAAGAAGAAAATGAGAATCGTTCGTTGTAGA